GCGCGCGCAGCACCGGGGACCTGAAGCCCCTGGCGACCGCCGATCGGGTGCGAGCGAAACGAGCAGGAGATGCAGCCGCCGCGAACACGCGCGATCGGCAGGCGCGCGACCAGCGCCGCCGGCAGCGTGAGCAGCACGACCGGCGCGCAGCGCCGGCGGTCGCCAAGACCGTGCGCCCACAACGCGGCCAGTGCGGCTGCCCGGCGCACGCGGTGTGCGGCATGTGCGTCGACCAGGGCAAGCTCGCCGCGGCCGAGCAGGCGGCCATCGACCTGGAGACGCGCTTCCACGCCTCGACGAACGTCGTCATGGACCTGGAGCGGCCCGAGGACGAGACGGCGGCGCTGCTGCAGCGCTGCGTGCACGTCTCCGACGAGACGAAGCGGCGGCTGCTGGGCGAGTGGAGCGACGAGCGCATGGCGCACGCGCTGCCGCTGCACGCATGCGCCTCGTGCGGCGTGCGCGACCCGTCGCTGACGTACACGCGGGTTGACGTGTCGGCGCTGCCGCGTACTGTGTCTGTGCGCGTAGCCGGCGGCGAAGACGAGACGCGGCACGTGTTTGAGCTCTCACCCGAGCAGTTGCGGTGTTGATCGCCGCGGGAGCCCTCTTATTTGCAGCGAGAAGCGGCGAGAGACTGCGAAGAGAGATAGGAAGAGGCAGACTCCCTAGGGTGGGCGACGGCTAGCGCACCACACACCTCTCCTTAAAATCCCTGTGTGGTGGCGGCGTGCCGTCCTCCCATCCCTCCCTTGGGTTGTCCGTTTTCTTTATTTCTTTTTTCAGTGTATGTGGCTCTTACGTACATTCCCGTAGTATTTTTGCTTGGGCGGGCCTGATGCTGAAATTCTGCAAAAACCTGGCCGGCCCCTGCGGTGCCCCTACCTTGAGCACTTGAGCACTGGATAGGGCCGATTCCGCGTGGTACGGGACCCCTCGATCGTCTCGCCCTCCCTCACTGGTATGTTCATTGGGGGGGGTCATAACAAACACGGTACAGGATCGAGGTGCACGCTGCCGAAGCAGTGTCGTCCCCCCTCTCCCCGACGGCGATGGCGGTGTGACCGATCGAGCTACAAGAGGAGCTTGTTCAGCAGGATCCGGGGTAGTCAGGCGCACTACCTCACTGGGCCTGAGACCGCCGAGACGCCTCCCATCACCGTCTCGGATTCATGTGGGATCGAACCACTCCGGGATGGGCAAGCCCATCAATTTTCGTTTCGTGTTTCCCTGCACCTGCAGGCGATGGCGAGAGAGGGATGAGTGGAGCTGGGACGGAGGAGGGGAGGAGGAAGGGCGGGGGCCGGGCGGGGAGGGGGGGGGGGCTGATGTCTGACCCGCGCCTGCCCTCTCCTGTCCGCCGACCCTTCTGCCGACCCTTCTGCCGACCCTTCTGCCGACCCGCGTCTGCCGACCCTTCTGCCGACCCTTCTGCCGGCGACCCGCGTCTGCCGACCCTTCTGCCGACCCCTCCCACGCGGGATCACGCAGCCGAAGCAGCCACTAGACATCCGTGCGCCGCTCGAACACGCCTCTGCCGAGGCTGCGAGGCGCCGTGTGAGACATGCCGCGTCCTCGCCCCGCTCTCACTCTCTCTGCTCTGGTCGCGCAGGCGCCTTGCCGATGACCGGCGTGTCGGGCCCGTCTGCGATGGCGACGCAGGGGCGGCGCGGCGGCGGCGCGGCGGCGGCGGAGCTGGCGTCTCTTCGGCCGCCACGCCCCAGTTGCAGTTCGCCGTCATTGACGTGTCATGAGTATGAACCAGGCGCCTCACGGCTGCCAGCATCTCTGCCTCTTCGCCTTCGAGCTGCACGTGCGCACGCGGGGCGGGATGAGGCCTGACCCAGGCCGCCCCGGCAGCGATGCGGCGGGAGGCGCGGCTGAGACGTGCAGGCATCTGGCTCGTGCAGCCGCGAGGAGTGATAACTGATGACTGAGCAGGCGCGGCGGGCGGGTCAGCCGGCACGTCAGCGGCGCACGGTGCCCCGGCCGGCGGCGGGGACGAGATCCTGGCGGTCGTGTACTGCGTGCAGCGGGAGGACGGCGCGTGGCCGCTTCGCGGTCGCGGAGGCGGAGGAGGCGGAGGAGGAGGCGGAAGAGGAGGCGGAGGAGGCGGCGGCGGTGCAGAGGGCGGAGACGGTGGCGGAGGCGATGGGGGCGGGTGCGGCGGCGGGTTTGAGTGGCACGACGAGCGGAGCATGCGGTGCGGCGCCACCCTTCGGCCGGACAGGTCGTCCAGTTGACGATGAATGGCTAGTCATGCCTAATCAGGTACGGCGTCATCCTTCGGTCGGACCAGGGCGGGGGAGGGCTGGGAGGCGGCGCGGCGGCGCGGCGGCGCGGCGGCGGTGGGTGAGGGTGTGAACGGCGCCTCTTCACGCCGTGTGCTGTGAACAGGCGCGGCTGCGCGGCGGGCTGCTCGGGCGTGGCGTTGCTTGCACCGAGGCGCGCGTGGCTGGAGGGGAGGTGGGCTTGCTCAAGGCGCTCGCCGCGGCGGTGCAGCAGCACGACCCCGACATCCTACTCGCGTGGGACGTGCGGCGCGCGTCGCTCGGGTACGCGCTCGAGCGAGCCGCGGTGCTCGGGATGAGGCCTCCGCTCGTGCGGCTGCTTGGGCGGATGCCAGACTCGGACGACGGCGACGCGAGGGCGAGGCGGGACCCGTGGGGCGAGCAGCACGGCTCGATGGACTTGGCCCAGAGATAGCCGAGATCTAGCCGAGATCTAGCCGAGATCTAGCCGAGAGATAGCCGTGGGGCGAGCACGGCTCGATGGACCTGGCCTGCGGCCGGTTGGTCAGAGGTGTGTGGCGGCGGCGCCTCTTCACGCCGGCGCGGGTGTGGGCCAGGTCTGCGGCCGGCTGGTGCTCAACGTGTGGCGCTCCGCGCGGGCAGAGCTCAAGCTCACCTCGTACACACTCGACAACGTCGCCGCCAAGCTGCTCGCCGCCGTGATCAGTGAAAACACTACGATGCCGCCTGAGGAATCTATAGGTCGCCGCGAAGCTGCTCACCATTGTCGGCGCGGACGGGCGCCCTAAGCCACAGCACGCACCCGGCCCACGCCGAGGAGTGGCCAATCAGTCGTTGATTGCGAGAGCTAGGCGCCCCATGCCGCAGCGCGTGCCCGCCCACACCCACCGCTCGATGACGCTGTGGTGGGACGAGGCGCCCGCCCATGCCGCCGCTCGCCGAGGCGGTTGGGTGGTCCTTCATCCAGGGTTGACTATCTCAATCAGGCGCCCGCCGCCGTCCCGCCGGCCGCGAGCCGGCTGGACGCCGGCCGACTGCACGTGCTGCGCCACTACGCGACCGTCCTCCGCACCACGCTGCTCGTCGTCGCCAGGCGAAAGAGAACAGATCGGTGTTTGATACCCAAACAATACCTCATCGTTCACCACGCTGCTCTTCGCCAGACTGGATAATTGGTTCATCATGCAATAGAAGGAATGGTGTGATTCATCACGAGAGAGCTGCTCGTCGCCAGGCTGGAGGTCATCTCCCGCACCTCGGAGCACGCGCGAGTCTTCGGCACCGACTCCCTCTCCGTGCTCACAACTCAGCCATACCTCCTGACCAATCCGCTGCCCAATCAGGCATCGACTTCCACTCTGTGCTGGTGCGAGGCTCGCAGTACCGAGTGGAGTCGATGCTGCTGCGGCTGGCCCGGACGCAAGACTACGCCCTCCCCGCCACAAACAAGGAGCAGGTGAGGGGCCAGTCAGCCATCGAGTGCCAGGCGCGCAACGCAGCACCGCTGCTTTTACCCTCTCACATCGTCCTCACCGACTCAGCCGTCGAGTGCCCAGGCGCTCAACTTCGACCCCGAGGGCACCCTCTACTCGGACCCGGCCGCACTGCTCAGCGGGGGGCGAGAGGCGTGCGGTCGGGCGGGTGCCGATCGAGGCATGAGTTGATCGTAGGCGGCCGTGCTCGACTCTGCACGTTGTTGTCTCGTATTCGGTTGATAGGTCTATGACTGTGCCACAGGTGGCCGTGCTCGACTTTCGCTCGTTGTACCCCTCCGTCGTCTGCGCGTACAACTATTGCTACTCCACCTGCCTTGGCAAGCTCGAGGCGATACCACGGACCCTCCGGCGGGAGACGAACCCGCGCCTCGTCACACCTCTGCGCTGCGAACAGGCGATGGCGCCTACCCTCCGGAGGGAGGCGGGGCCGTCGCATAAGTTCGGATGCCTCGAGCTGCCTCCGCGTGCGCTCGCCACCCGCGACGAGGTGCACTCGTCACTACCCCTAGGACTGATTTCGCGCTAGCAGCTGCTAGCCACTCACTGAGCTACTAGCTCTCCACCCGCAAGAGGCGCTCGGCCATCGCACATGCCTCGCACACGCCCCTCGCTAGTCAGTGAGTGACTGGTTGACCGGCGCGCCTCCGGACGGACAGGCACACGGCCCCTCGGGGCCTCGAGACGCCGGCTGGCAGCTCCGCGCCGCCCTACGTCGCGTCGGAGCCGCCGCCCCGCCCGCCGACAGCGACCAGCCCACCTCTGCCACCAACCCCTCTGCCGCCGCCTACTCTCCCGCCGCCTCCTCTCCCGCCGCCCCCTCTGCCGCCCCCTCTGCCGCTCCCTCTGCGGCGGCTGGCGGGCTTCTGCGCGGGACCTACGCCTCGCCAAACGGGCTCCTGTTTGCGCGCGCAGCGGCGCGGCCTGGCGCGTGCTGCCGCGGTGCAGCGTGCAAGACGCCGATGACATCCTTCAAGGCATCCCTGCGTGGATCAGGCGTGCTGCCGCGGCTGCTGCGCGAGATATTGGAGACGCGCTTTATGGTCAAGCGCGCGATGAAGTCGCTGCCGCCCGGGCCTGCGCTTTCACTGCACGATCCATGGGCTGTGAGTGACAGTACTTCACCGTTGCCTCATTGCTCACAGGTCAGCGCTGCACCGCACGCTCAACGACCGGCAGCTCGGCCTCAAGCTGGTGGCCAACGTCACGTACGGGTACACCTCCGCCTCCTTCTCCGGGCGGATGCCGAACGCTCACCTCGCAGACGCCATCGTGCAGACCGGGAGGGAGACCCTCGAGGCGGCGATCGAGATGGTGCACCAGCGGCGCGAGTGGCGTGCGCGCGTGGTGTACGGCGACACGGACTCGATGTTTGTGCTGCTCGAGGGTCGGTCGGTCGCGGAGGCCTTCGCGGTCGGCCGCGCGATAGCCGAGGCGGTGACGGAGAGGTGCCCGCACCCGATGGAGCTCGAGCTCGAGAAGGTGTACGCCGCGAGCATGCTGCAGGCAAAGAAGCGGTACGTCGGCCTCTCGTACGAGTCGGCCAGGCAGTACGAGCAGCACGTCGCCGGCGACGCGTCTCGCGCGCCCGCTCTCGACGTCAAGGGCCTCGAGGCGGTGCGGCGCGACGCGTGCCTCGCGACGGTCAAGGTGATGGACCGCGCGCTGCGGCTGCTCCTCACCACGAAGGACGTGTCGGCCGTCAAGAGCTACGTGCTCCGGCAGTGCGACAAGCTGTGGACGGGCCGCTTCCCGCTCATCGACTGCGTCTTCGCCACCGAGATGAAGGGCGGCGCGCAAGACACCTTCGGGTACAAGTCGGAGGGCGTGGCGCCGGGGTCCGGCCAGGCGGCCACCACGCGGCTGCGCGCTGTGTCTGGGGATGTGATCTCGGGCTGACCTCGGCTGTGTCTCGTGGTCAGGTTGCGATCCGCAGGCAGAGAATCGACCCGCGCGACGCGGCGGAGATGGGGGAGCGGGTGTGCACCTCGGGGCGGGCGAGTCGACTACCCGAAGATGACCCGAGATGAGGCGAGATTGCCCGAGAGTAGGTGCCGTTCGTGGTGGTCGAGTCGGCCCAGTTCGGCGTCGCCGCGTCGTCGACCAAGGCATTGCAGCGGCCCTGCCCTTCTCACCTCGGATAATCTCGGGTGATCTCGGGTACTCGTCCGAAGGCGTTCAAACTGCGCGAGTCGGCGCGCCGCCCCGAGGAGCTGCTCCTGCACGAGCGCGGCCTCAAGATCGCGGCGCACTACTACATCTTCAAGGGCATCCTGCCCGCGCTCAACCGCATCCTCGAGCCGATCGGCGTCGACGTCTTCCGATGGCACACCCCTCCCGGAAGCGCGAGATGAGCTCGCCCAGCTCAGCCGCGGGCGTGACCCGCCGGGCGTGACCCGCAGGTACACCCTCCAGATGAAGCGCAACAACGTCCCTCTCGCGCTCGACCGAGCGGCGCCCGTCAAGGCGACCGGCCCGCGCCGGACCATGCACCAGTACTACCACTCGGAGCACTGCGTGCTGTGCGACGCCCCCGCGGCCGACGGCGCCGACCTCTGCGCCGCGTCCTTTGCCCGGCCACTGATGGACCAAGTAGTCCATGACTTGATCAGGCGCCACCCTCTGCGCCGCGTGCCTCGGCCGGCCTGGCGACGCCGCGTTTGCCCTAGCGACGCGGCTGCGGCTGCTCGAGCAGAGGCACCAGCCGCCGACGCGCCACTGCATGCTGCTAAGCAAGGTAACTATCATCGATTAATCGACGAACAGGCACGAGCAGACGACGCGTCACTGCATGCGCTGCACGGGCGAGCACGATCGCGACATCCGGTGCGAGGCGATCGACTGCCCCGTGCTGTACGCGCGGCTGAGGTACGAGCGGCAGGGCCACAACGCGAGGCAGCAGCAGGCCGCCGCGGTGCGGGCGCTGCAGTGGTAAGGTCGGTTCAAGCAGGTGTGTACGTACAAGCCTCTGTTCCGCCCCCTCTGGACGCGTCCACCCTCCGTCCAATCGAGCCGTCCGCGTCCCCACTAATACATACATATAAGTGTAAGGTACGGTGTACTGACGTACACTGTGACTGTGTACTACACACTAGTGTACGTGAAAACCCGGTCTGCGGGAAGCGGATCACCCTCTATAAAAACTAATTGTTGACAAACTAAAGAGCACGGTAAAGCCGTAGCTCTCTCGCTCGACCTCTCGACGCACACGCTTGGACAGCCGCTCTACGGCTTTAAGTGCCGCTCTCGTCTCCGGTGTCCGGACTCCGCGCGCCCTCCCCGCCTCAAGCTCAACACCGGCACCCCGGCTGCTAAAGCCGCGTAGCAGCAGCTGCGCGCGCGGTCGTGCACCGGCGCTTCGCGAGCGCCGAGAGCCGCGCGAAGCGTGTAGCCTTTGCCCTTTCGCGCGCAGAACGCCCGGGAACACGTAGCGCGGCGTGCCGGCGTCGGCAGTCTGGAGACTGGAGCACACATGTGTCTCGTCTCACACCCCGTCGCAGTGGCCGCGGGCCCCGCGCGCGTGCAAAATTCTTCTAAGAGGCATGACCAGGTACCTGCCATGCCTGCCTGTGCTGCATTTATCGAATTTATCGGACCGCGCCCCTAGACTCTACTCCCGCGGAGCAATCCGTGCGCCCTCGCGCAGCAACCGCTGCAGTACCGTGCGATCGTGCACTCGCTTCGCAAACCGCGCAGCTGGGCTGATCGCGCCAAAGATGCTGCGCGGCAGCTTGGCATGCGCCACGAGCAGCGGGCGGGCCGCATCCATCACGTTGTACTCGGGCACGAGCTGGCGCGCCATGCCCTCGAGGCACATCGCGTTGACGACGAGCGTGACGTAGTTCGCGCCGACGGCGACTCGGTGCTCGCGGATGAGGCTGAGCGTCTCCTGCTCGCGGCAGACGATGGTGAAGAGACGCCTCCCCCAAATGTGCCCGATCTCAGCTGCGTCTCGGCTATCTCTCCCTCAGCACGACGCCCAAGTCAATGCCGTGGCCGTACCCTCTGCAGTGCCGCCCAAAGCTACTCGCCATCGCGTCGGCAAACGCGACGTCGCGCAGAGACGCCTCGCCCGCAGGCGCGCCATAGCCTCCGCCGCCACTGCCGCCGCCGCCACTGCCACTGCCGCCGCCGCCGCCAGCCCAGCGCAGCACGCACCGCGCCGCGGCGCGGCCGTCTCCCTCCCCGACGGCCTGCAGACGCATTCACATCCGTCTTGGTTTGTCGACAGACTGCGGATGACTAGCCCTCGCCGACGGCCTGCAGGAAGCCGATGAAGTTGTGCTGCTCGCTCGCGGTGAGCACCGCCGTCATGCCGAGGTCGACCATCCCGATGGTGCCGAGCCCGCCCCGCCCGTCGGCGCTGAAGAGCAAGTTGCCTGTGCTCACAGCGCAGACAGCGTGATGAGGCGCCGTTCACGGCCGTTCGCAGCGCCGGTGGGCAGGCTCGCCGGGGTGCAGGTCGGCGTGCATCAGGTTGTCCGCGAGCAGCATCTTGTAGTAGATGTCGACGCCTTCCAACGGACACCCACCCGAGAGGTGACCAGCGGCCTGCGAGCGGCATTCGCTGGCAGCCGGCGCAGAGCCTCGCTGTACGATGTAGTGCCGCTGCGCAACGCTGAGCTGCCGCGCGCGGCTGATTGGCAATGCAGAGGGGGTGAGACGCTAGGAGTTGGGGCCGCAGAGATTGCTTGCCGCCTCTCGCGCCCGCGGATCGGGTCGTGGGCCGAGGCGGTCGCAGCGGCGAAGTTGATGTATTCGCCGATGGGCGCGCCTAGCACATGACAACACAATCACAGAGTAGAAGCTGCAAGACGGTGTGTGCCCTCGCCGTAGCGCGCCCGGCACGAGGGTCTCAATCAGAACACTCGGCGACGCCGAGAGAGGCGCGGGGAGGAGGACGTCGCCCCAAGCCTCGAAGTTGCGACCCACCAGCCGCAGCCAGCGAGCCTCCTCCTCGAGCGACGCCTGCCGCTGCAGCGCCCAGCCGAACTGCTTCACTGTCGACTGCGCGTCGAGCCAGCGCAAGCCGGGCACGCTGTCGACGGCGCGCGCAAGCAGCTCGAGCAGCCTGAAGTCCGCCTGTTCACGGGCCGTGAAGGTGTGAAGAGGCTGTGCATAGGCAGCGGCTCGAGCAGCTCGAAGCCGCGCCTCCAGTTCTGCCCCGACACGCGGGTGGCGAACCTTGACCGCCACCGCACTGCCGTTGAGCCGGGCGAGGTGGACCTGTGGGAGGAAGGAGTCTCGCATCACAGAACTGGCCGAGTCAGTGAGCCGTGCGAGGTGGACCTGGCCGATGGATCCGCTCGCCAGCGGCTCGTCCTCCCACGCGTCAAAGTAGTCTTCGATGCTCGCTCCGGTGGCCGCCTCGACCTCGGCGCGCGAGATCGCGGCGGCGTGGGCGGGCGCGTGCGCGTGCAGGACGGAGAGCGCCTCGCAGACAGACGGAGGGACGAGGTCCGGCCGCGTCGCCGCCCACTGGCCCCACTTTGTCAGCGCGGCGCTACGGCCGAGAGCGTGCCGCAGCGCCGGAAGGAAGAGGCACTGCTGGATAGTGGAGGAGGCCGCCGCCGCGGGCGATAGCAGGACAGCAGGCGACAGCGCGAGGCTGAGGACGAGTGCGCGATTCAGGAGGAGAACGGTTTGCGGCGCACAGGCGAGCAGCAGCGCAAGCAAGAGCGAGATGACGGCGCATCGTCGGAGGAGGCGCGAGGAGGCCATGGCGACAACAGAACGGAGGACGACAGAGCGGGCCTGGTTCTGGTGGGTTCTTGATCTCGTGCGGGAAGCCCCGGCTCGAACCCTTGGGGGGGGGGGGGGCAATGCGCGCCAGTCCCGTGCCATATACAAATAAAAAATGCAGCACGCATGGGCGACGCACGAACACAGAGGCACAGTCTGTCACATCACGGTGAAAGAAAGAAAAAAGATACGCCAAGGGAGGGATACACACGGTAAATAAATAAATAGATCATCTCCAGGGAGAGATGGGCGACGCACACGAACACAGAGGGACAGTGCGCACCCCGCCCCGCTCGAAGGCAGGGTGTGCATCAGAGCATCACACAGGTGGACTGTGATCTGTGGAAGCTGCCCGGGTACTATCCGTTGTGGTCGGGCGCAACCTCGACAACCTAAACCTCGACATGTGCATGGAGCTTTTGGAGCAGACCCCGCGCGGCCAGCGCGCCGCGCAGCTGGGCCCCGGTGGTCGCCAGGATGGATCTCGACCCCTCCGGCACGAGCACCGCGCTCGTCAGCGACTCGGCAGACTATGCCGAGGAGCGCGTTCGAACAGCGCCCCGCCGAGATCTCCCTCTCTGAGTACATACACCCCACGATCGAGACCGCCGGTCGGCAGCCCTAAAGCTGACTTTCCAGAGCTGCGGTCAGCGCCTCTCGTCGAGTGTCGCCGACCGCAGCTCTGCTTCGTTCCTCTACAATCGATCGAGGCTCATCTCTCGACAATCTCGGCTCCACCAAGCCGCCGGCCAGAGAGATGTCGCTGTCGAGCGCGGTGATGCGTGCCGTGGGGGTCGGTCTCCCTCCTAGTGGCCGCCTCCGCGCGGATTACTGGCCGTCTGGGAACTCGGCGAACTGCAGGGGAAGGGGGCGCGTCGGGAGGTTCTCGCGCCCGCCGTGTGGTGAGGATTCAAGCTTACGCCATAATGGGGGGCCAGCACGCCGGGCTGGTGGCCTTTTGTGGACAATGAACACAGATAGCAGTGCGGACAAAGATGGGGATCGGCGCCATGCACAAACACCTGGGCGTGCATTGTCCGCGCCTGCGACACGACACATTACAGAGTTTTTACACCTCACATTACACGGACGAATAACTCTCAGAAGTCCACACGAGACGCACCGGGGAAGGGGTGGGGGCGGCAGCGGTAGCAGCGGGGGCGGCGGAGGCGGCAGCGGACGCGCGCGACGGAGGGGCGGAGCAGCGGTCGCTGCTCCGTGTGCGGACAGGGATGGGAATCGGCGCCATGCACGCTCCTGTGGGCGCGCGCGCATTGCCACATTACTCTCGGGAGACGTACCGGGGAAGGAAAGGGGGGGGCGTCGGGGGTAGCAGCGGAGGCAGCAGCGGGCGCACGCAACGGAGGGGCGGAGCAGCGACCGCTGCGCGCGCGGTCGCTGCTCCGTCTGCGCCGGAGCGCGCCGCCAGCGCGCACGCCCTCGATAGGCTCGCGCGTGAGGAGGCAAGCGTGGCGGCGCGGGGAAGCGCGGCGGCGGCGGCGAGCACGCGAGTGGTCCGCGCGCGGCGAGGCGGACGGGCGATGGCCGGCGGGTGACGAGGCAAGAGAGCAGCCAACACCCGACGCGAACGGCATTGAACGTCTGCGCAGAAGCCATAGGGCAGTCAGTGGTGGGGCGAGGCGGAGCCGGCCGCGGGCCGGGTGCAAGGCGCCGGCCTTGGCGCCGCCTCGGCGCGCCTTCTTCAACTGACCGAGCTCTCCTCCAGACTCTTGGCGCGATTGCCGCAGCAGGACGGGGCGCAGCGGCGGAGTCGGAGGCGAAGGTGCAGCCTCAGGGGGGCGCGCGCCGCCATCCGAGAGCATCAATATGCTCACTCGGACGAGACGACCTTGCTCGGCTTCCGTAATTGTGCATGAGCAGCGCCCGGAGCTTCCTGGGGGAGGGGGGCGCGTCGACGTTGTCGAGGTGTCGAGGTTGCGTGTTTCGAGGTTGCATGCTCACGCTACTCGAGTTCCTCCTGCCACTCCTGCCACTCTCCGAGGCCACCCCATGCCACTCTCCGAGGCGCAGCTGCTCGAGATCCAGGCCGACGCGATGGCGGACGACGTGCCCATAGACCTCGTCACCATGTCCGAGTGGAGCGAGGCCGAAGCGGTCGCCTACTTTGAGAGTGGCGGTGAGACGGTGCCGGGCGCGGCGGGCACCTACACCCGCGGCGACGCTCCCACCGGTTCGACGCCTTGGCTGCGCTGCCTCGGGAAGAAGCCGGCGGCGACGCACCGCGTGGTCGTGTTCAACTGGACGGGCAACCGCGGCGGGCAGGGCTCGGCGCACAACCTGATGCGCCCAAACTGGTCGGCGGCGATGGAGGCGTCCGAGGTGTACGAGGTGCTGCTTCCCGGCCGAGGGATGCGCCAAAAGGAGGCGCTGCACACCTCGACCCGCGAGCTCGTCGCTGCGCTCGCCGCCGCGCTCGGCCCGGCGCTCCGCGGCGGCAAGCCCTTCGCCTTCGTCGGCCTCTCCCACGGCGCCCTCCTCGCCTTCGAGACCGCGCTCGCCATCAGCGCCGCCGCGCCGGGCGAGGGACCCGCGCTGCTGTGCGCCGTCAGCGCCGAGGGCCCTTCCTGGCCCGGCCGCAAAGGCGGGCCGGTGATGGAGTGAGCAACAGCGATCGTCCTGTGCCGTGCTTGATTACCCAACTGTCAGTGAGGCACAGGCGAGCTGCACAAGCTCGACGACGACGCCTTCAAGGCGACGCCTCTGCCGCCACGGGCTGGGACGGAGGCCTTCGCTACTGATTCACCAGCCCGCTAGCAGGCGATGCTCGCCGACAAGGGCGGCACCGACTTCATCCTCCGCGACGCCGGCCTGACGAAGATGTGCCGAGAGAAGCCGAGATGAGCCGAGAGGAGCCGAGAGGAGCCGAGAGGGGCCGAGAGGAGCCGAGAGGAGCCGAGAGGGGCCGAGAGGGGCCGAGAGAAGCCGAGAGGGGCCGGGAGGGGCCGAGAGGGGCCGAGAGGGGCCGAGAGGGGCCGAGAGGGGCCGAGAGGGGCCGAGAGAAGCCGAGAGGGGCCGAGAGGGGCCGAGAGGGGCCGAGAGGGGCCGTGAGGGGCCTCAATCAGACGCGATCAAGCGCGTTCAGACGCGTTCAGACGCGGTCTCTGGCATGCGAGTGCCGGACATGGCGACCCTGTGAACAGCGTCTCTTCACAGCCAGCCGGCGTGAATAGGTACGTGCCGGTGATCCAGGCCGACCTGGCGCTCGAGGAGACGTACGCCCCGTCCGGCGGCCGGCTGGGCGTGCCTGTCCTCGCGGTGGTTGGCGAGGCGGCGGGCCGAGACAAGCAGCGCACGTGCGTGCCGCGAGAGGCAGCCGCTCTCTGGCTTGAGGCGACGAGTGCCGCTGGAGGATCGAGGGTGTGCTCTCTGCCGGAGGTGGACTGGTACGTCTTCCAGGAGCCCGCGGGCGCGGCGGCGGTGCAGCGCGAGGTCGCCGCCTTCATGAGAAGCGTCTGAGATGCCCTTGGTGATGCTCCGATAAACCCGCCGGATCTTCTTCGACAACGATTTTTCTTTTTTGGAAGGGGTTGCGCCGGGGCCGCGCGGGGGGCGGGCGCCCGCCAGGATCCCCCGCTGACACACCCCTCTGCCTCTCCTCTCAATATGATAAAATAAAAACAAATAACAATCTCCGCGGAAGAGCTCAAGGGACACAAAAGAGCATCGACCCGAACCGTCTGCGGCACACACTGCACATCACACGCCCCGCGTTCAGAGTCTCGAGTTCAGAGTCGCGCACGCTGCAAATCTCGTGGCCGGTTGCGCGCTCGCCTGACTCTCTGAGCCGCGTCGCGATACGCGAACGCCCGCGCAACCCACTGTATGTTGAAGGCCCGCCCCAACAGGCGGAGACAGAGGAGGGGGTTCCCAAGGTCAGAGCGTCTTCTCCTTCGAGTCACGCGCGCCAGCCAGCTGCTTGAGCTGCTCCTCGACGGCGGCCGGCTTGACGCCCGCGCGGTGGCCGTACCAGTTGAGGTACCTATTGACCATGCGTGCCTGCTCTTATTTATGACTCATGACGCGTGGTGGCCATACCAGTTGAGGCACCTCTCGACCACCCATTCGGACAGGAAAGCGGGCAGCCGCGGCAGCGCCTGCATCGCGAGACTTGACGAGTAATCGGGACTGGGCGTGTCGCAAACTGTTCGCTAACAGCAGCCGCGGCGGCGCCTGCATCACGTAGCGCGAATCGCAGCCGCAGTAGACCTCCGCCTGTATGAAGCACAATGCACATGACACATCACGGCACGGTATCTCGCAGCGGCAGCAGACCTCCGCCTCTGGTGGGGAGAGAGTGGTCGCCGCGCGGACCAGCGCCTAACCAACGGAGAGCTCACTCAGCCCATTTCAACCAATGCCGAGTGGTCGCCGCGCGGACCGGCGCCTCGCTCGCGCGGAGCGGGCTGGGCCTTGGGCGGCGTGGGCGTTGGGCTCGGGTTCGGGGATGGGGTTCGGGGGTCGGGGGTGGGGCTTGGGCTCGGGTGCACGCCTCGTTGACGCGGAGCGGGTCCCAGGCAAAGTCAATGAGCAAGGCGTCGCTCGAGTACTCGAGGCACTCGAGCACGGCCTCGCCGTACTCGGCCTGCTTGGAGGCGGCCATGCGGTCCCACGTCTTGCGCACGTAGTCGGCGCCTCGGAAGGTTCCGTCGGCGGCGACGATGAGCGGCGTCTTGTGGAAGGAGGCGAGGACGGTGGTGACGCCGATGCCAAAGTGCTGGAGCTCCATCCGGAGGCAGGCGGCGTACGTGTCGCACGCGTGCTTCGACGTCGAGTACGGGGAGAGGTACGCCACCGGAAGCTTGCCTAGAAGGCTCCTAGAAGGTTCCTAGAAGGTTCCTAGGAAGGGGAGAGGTACGCCACCCGCAGCTTGCCGGCGATCGACGAGTTGATGACGAACCGCGGCTGCGGCGGCGCTCCCTCGCCCCCCGCCCGCCGCATCGCGGCGGTGCGCTTGAGGGCGGGCAGGAGCGCCTTGGTGAGCCGGATCACGCCGTAAAAGTTGACGTTGATGTTGGACTCGAAGTCCGACATCGCCAGCCAGTCGATCGGCCCGCCGGCGGCCAGGCCCGCGTTGCAAACCACAGAGAGGAGCGCGCGGCGGCCGCCGCCTCCGAGCCACTCGTCCACGGCCGCGACGGCGGCGTCGACGGACGCGTCCTTGGTCACGTCGAGGGCGACCGGCACCAGCCGCTCGCCTCCCGCCGCAGCCTCGCGCAGCGCCGCTCCTCCCTCTGGCGTGAGGCAGCCCGCAAAGACGGTGTAGCCGCGGCCGGCGAGGGAGAGCGCGGCTGTCTTGCCGAAGCCGGAGTCGCAGCCGGAGATGAAGATGCCGAAGCGGCCACGCTCAGTCTCGGCCAGCTCCAGCTCTCCCGCCATCGCCGCACGGATGGCGCGCACGCACTTGTACGCAAGGACAAAGGGCGCCACCAGGCCGGCGGCGAGGCAGAGCAGCGTCCAGTGGAGGCCCTCGACGATGTGGCCAGCAACTGGGTGGTGGAGGAAGACGTTGACGGCGTTGAAGGCGGCGCCGGGCGGCTGGCGTGCAGGCACAGGCATGACCAGGAGATATTTTTCTTCTTTTGCCCTTGACCTTTTTTTCGTCGTGCCAGAGACGGCGAGGTACTACTTCCCGCCTGCTGTGAAAACATGAACACTGTCGCCTGTCTGCTATAGCCGCAGCCACTCCCAGCTGCTCGGTGTGAAGTTCGTACACCGAGCTCCGCAAGACTGGGGCCCTCCGGTCTTCACAGCGGAGTTTGCCAGCAGGCTGCTCGCGCCGAGGCTCGCATTCTCAGGTTGACTCAGCCGCGAGAGGCGTGGGAATTTCTCGCCAGCCTTGCAATCGATCGATCCGCTGCATGTGTGTGACACTCCTGCTGGCCGTGGCCGGCGCGCTCGCGCTCCGTCCCGGCGTGCACGTCTGCAGGTCCAGTCGCGGCGGCGACGTTTCCATGAAGATCCTTCGGCACCAGGCGGGCGCGAGCGCCGACTCGACGAGCGCGGCGCTGGACCGGCTGTGCGGGGCTCCGTCCGGCGTGTTTGTGCTCTCGTACACCGAGGCGGGTGCGCTGTCCAACTCTCTCCTCGAGAGGGTAGTCGCAGACTTTGAGGCCTCGGAGCTGTACGGCGGGCCGGCGCTAGCGTGTGCCCAGATCGTGCGCGACGGCGGCGGGCCGCAGGATGCGCTCTGCGACCAGCGCGGGGTCACCGTCTTCCCCACCACCGAAGTTTGGCAGAAGGGCGCGCTGGTCGCCACGGTCGGCGCCTTTGAGCTCGAAGCGACGCTGCGTGGGCTCGGCCTGCGCACGGCGCGCCGCGCACCTCGACGTGGTGGGCAGCGCGGCCGAGGGACGGCTCCAACGCTTCCGAGACGTGTCCTGTAGGCCGCCACGTCAACGTGGAGCAACGCGGCCAAGGGCTCCGACGCAAAGGGGCTGCCCTCGGCCACCGCCGTCGATGACATCGACTTCACAGGCGGCGGTGGGGAGGGAGGGAGGCCGATCGACATGGGCAGAAGGGGCGACCGCGGGATCACGCAGGACTACTTCCCGTTTGGCGACACCGACAAGCCGGGCGACGAGATGGGCGATGCCAAGTGAGTCGGAAGGTGAGACGTTTGAGAGCGCGTGGGTTTTTGTGATTGTCGGTGCGTTTTGGTTTTTTTTTAGGAACAAGCAAAGGAGGCGACGCACGCCACCCCCCGGGCCCGCCGACAGAATCCCACACAGTTCACAGAACCTTGGAGACGACACACATAGGTGGTAGACAGCGCCCCAACGCAAAAAGGCAAAATTCACCAGTGTGGGATTTCGCGCAAACCGCAATTTCGCTTGACTCTGAAAAGCTCGCATGTACCTCCTGCGAGCGCTGTGATCGCCGCAGACTGGCTCCGACTTGACGGGCGCATGGAGACGTGATGCCTCCATGCGCCCCGTCGCGTCGAAATCGACATGTGAGTCGATCTTTGGCCCGCCAGAGGTACATGCGGCGTTTTGGGCGACAACAGCGCTGCGACCGCGAAGTGGCGGTGGACATGCTCCCATGTTGCCGACGCGGCGCCGGAGTGGCCGGCGCTGCTCGCCGCGACCACGACGGTGCAGAGGAGCCGAGTGCAGTGACGATCCAGAGGCTACCTGGGTCACCAAGTGGTGGACCTTGCCCACTCTGAGCAGGGCTGTGCTTTGGTGTGGGGTTGTGTTTGAGCATGTGTGAAGTGGGAGTGCGTGCCGGCGGTGTCTGTGGGTGAAATAGGCGTGTGTGAGGCTGCAGAGCCGGGGTATGCGAGCCAGAGTGGGCTTCATCACCCAAAATAAGGACCGTCTGGGACAGCTCAGACTTGATACTGATGGGCCTTGGCCAGGAGAGCGGCAGGGAAGGCGAGGTGGTGAGATGGGAAGCCGCTTTGTCGGCACCTGGACGTGTCGCGATGACCTGTGCCAAAAAGCGTTGTTTGCGGCTATTGCTCAAGACTTCGGGAGAGAAGGCCTACATATTATGACTTCATCCATGCGCCTGGTGCATGAGAGCTGTAGGTCGGGACATATCACGGTCGGTGGCGCCGATAATGACCTCCGAAAAGCCCTCGCAATCGCTCCAGATGGGTCCACCGGGGACGATCTCGAGCCCTCTCCGTGGCATCACGAGCCGGTATGAGCCTGAAGACCCAATATTCGTGCGGTCTGGCACTCCACAGTTCAGACCTGCTCCTGGTAGGCCTGGGCCAGGAGAGCGACAGAGAAGGCGAGGTGGTAAGCTGAGAGCAGGAAATAGCGCTTCGTGGCACCTGCTTCGCGACAAGGTCACACGCGGACTCTCCAGCCTCTCAGCTCACTAGCTCGCCTTCTCTGTCGCTCTCCTGGCCCAGGCCCATCAGTAGCAGGCCCGAGCTGTCCCGAACCGCACTTATCTCGGGTCTTCAAGCTCACACCGGCGCGTGATGCCACGGAGAGGGCTCGAGATTGTTCCCAGTGGACCCCATCCGAGCCGATTGCGAGGGCATTTCGGAGGTCATTATCGGCGCCACCGACTGTGAAATGTCCCGACCCACAGCTCTTCTGCACCAGGCGCATGGATGAAGTCATAATATGTAGGCCTTCTCTCCCGAAGTCTTGAGCAATAGCCGCAAAAGGCGCTTCTTAAGTGGCCGTTTCGGAGCACCGTGTTGCCTTCGGTGGCAACGGTGGCAGGGTGGTGTGGCGCGAGAACAACCTCGACCCGCGAGCCCTTGCTTGGCATGCCAGTAGGGACATGTCATGCCGTGCCAGGAAGGACGGTATTTCCACCTCTATAGAGCCTGGGGCGGTGAGACTCAGCGAGATTACTGCGTTTTGCCGACTCGCGCCCCGTCTGCTGCACGAGCCAAGGCGCACGTCAGGCACCGTGGGGGGCGCGCACGAGCGTCTGACACCGTTCATCCGACTAGAGAATTGTAGTAAGGAGTCCGTACTGCAACCCCAAAGTCCGACAATCGATGTCAATTGCTCTTCCGCGCCCTCCACGGCGCGCACCGTTCTGGGACTTGCACACCCCTCGCGGCCCGTCTGCTGGATGGAGCCGACATCACTGCCTAAGCCTCGACGGCTCCATGGCCGGCATGTTGGGTACTATACGGGCGGCGGGAAGTGCGCTTCCTGCCAGGCGCTAGCGGTGGAGCTTGGCTGGCTCGATACTGTGCACTCAGGCCCGGAACCAGACGGGCTGCGTGGTGACGACGCGCCGGATGCCGTGCCGACGGCCGACAAGATGCCCGACGCGACGGGTGGGACCATGTCAAGCCGGGGACGGGGCGGTGTTATTTAGCCGCAAGTCTTACCGGGAATGCACGCAGCGCCAGAAGGCCGCGGTGTGGCTCTGCGAAGGCTGCCACACGCACCAGCGCACCACACAAGCATGCTTGCCCGGAGGGCCGGTCTCTGCTGGTTGGGTGAGCGGTGGGGGAAGATGCTGTGCAGACCGAAGTAGTGCGTATTATCGCTTCTAGCTTGGAGTGTGTGGTCTCTACAACCCCTACACCACATCCCACACCGGTAGAGCTCGACTGCACCTCGGCAAGTATACGAGAAAAAATCTTCGACGCCTACTGACACAAGGTTAAGGAGAGGAGTGTGGTGCTAGCCGTCGCCCGGGGATCGCACACTGAATTCTTTTTGCCCCGGCGCAGATGCCCAAAACGCAACGCAAACACGCACGATGCCGCTCACCTGCGCGCCTATTGCGCAGCCTGGCGCCAGCGCCATCGCTCTCGGCGCCGCCCTCGCTGCGGCCACCTTCCTCGTGCCGCTGCCGCAGGGTTGGAAGGTGTTTGCCACTCAATCGCCCACCCTACCGCCGCTCTGCCGCCGCCGCTCGCCTGTCATCACCGCTCGCCTATCGCCGAGAAGCGCCGCAGCCGACATCGCGCCCTCCCGTCGCTGCGCCGCTGCCGCCGCTGCCTCGCCTCGGTCGCCTTGGAACCGGCCCCTTGCGGTGACCGCCGCCGCAGGTGTGGCGGACGCGCTCGAGCCGCGGCATCTCTCTCCTCACGCTGCACCTGACGGTGCTCTTCGGCGCATCGAGCATCGCGACGATGATCGGCTTCAAGCAGCCCGCCCTCGCCGCATGCGCCCACGGCCCAGGCTGCCTGGCCTCGCTCCTCGACGCCCTGCAGCAGCTCGCGGCCGCCGCCTCGTGGACGGGCGTGCTCGCCGTCACCCTCCGCACGCCCGAGTCTCGCTCCGCCTCCTCCCTCCTCGCCGCCGGCGCCGACGCCTCTGCGGCAGTGCAGCCGCCTCGCAGCAGCCTCCCGTGAGCCCTCCCGCGAGAAAGCTGCCTCTAGGCCTGACGCTGTGCGCCGTGGCGGCCGCCGTCGGGACGAGCGCTGCGCTCGCTTCCGCTGCACCGTGCTCTCAAGCCTCGCTGCTCTACGCGCAGGCCCTCGGCTGGGTCGGTTCCGCCATCGCGGCCTGCCAGTTTGCGCCGCAGCTGCTGGCCACGTGGCGGCAGCGCGGCTCCGGCGCCCTCTCGTACGCAACCTACCTGCTGCAGACGGCGGGCTCGCTGCTCGTCGTCCTCAACCAGGCCGTCTTCCAGCAGGACTCGTGGCCCGTGTGGCTGCCCGTGCTCGTCTCGGCGGCCATGCAGGCGCGCGAGATCCATATCTCGGCGCATCTCGGCACGTCTCCGCATCTCGGCACATCTCCACGTCTCGGCCCATCTCCGCACGCCTCTCCGCACGCCACTCCGCACTCCTCAAGGCGTGCGTGCTCGCGGTCGGCATCTTCTTCGACCGGCCCTGCTGCCGCCCAGCCGCCGCCGCCCGCCCGACCTCGCGCTCGCTGCTCCCGGAGTTCAACGCGCGCGCGGAAGATGGGGGCGGAGCGACGGCCGGGCGGCGGCAACCGCTGCTGCAAGGCGCGCTGCCGGCGGAGCAGGCAGCGGACGGGCCCCCGGAGGAGGGCGGGGAGCCGCAGCCCTTGGGCGCGGCAGTGGAGGAGGGGCGAGGGGGGTCTGGGTGACATATGAACGTCCCTTTCCCATACTGTGACCTCGCTGGATGGTAGCATATGCGTTGAAAGCACGTGCTCGCACAAATAATTTAATTATTAATTTATTTCAAATACAGAGAAAGTGAGAGATCAGCCGCCGGCGGGCGAGCCGGGGTGTTTTTGAGGGCCGGTCGAAAGCCCCGAGACACACACATCACGAATAATTAAATACAGAGACGACTGACAAGTCACAAGATCAAGAAATGGGATCCGACAGTGAGACCGGTCAAACTGGAGGTCTCCGGTGTGTGCTGGGCGACCAGTGCAATCGAGAATCAACTGGAGGACTGATCGCAAGGGTCGCAGGTGCGTCGCAGGTCGGGGTGATAAGGCCGGCTACGCGACCATCGAGATCGAGCTGAAGAACGAGAAGGCCGCGGGCGACCGCGAGTCGGTGAAGGCGGCGGAGCGCTCGTACGTCGAGCGCACCGAGCCAAAGAAGAAGGAGCTCAGCTCACCAAGGAGCAGCTCGCGGCAAAGGCCGCGGCACGCAAGGCCAAGAAGACCCGGCAGAAGGCGCGCCGGGCGCAGGAGGCCGGCGAGCGCGCCGCGAGCGAGGCCGAGCGCTCGGAGCCCCCGCGCGCGCAGCTGCGCGAGAACATCCAGTAGCTACGTGATGGCCGGGCTGCGGTCTGCAGCTGCGCAGGCGCGCAGCCAGGCCGGGGCCAACATTTGGGTCGAATACTCGCTGCCCCCGGAGAGGGACGACGGGTATCGACGCGGCCCCAGCAAGGTGTACGCCACGGTTCCCCAGGGGACCGTGGCGACGACGGTTGCCCTAGACTGGCTCGCGAACGAGCTGGCCGGGCGCGGCAAGATTGATGCGAGCGGCATGCCGCGACCGCATGGTCATGCACCTGATGACGGCCGCCGGCGCCTCGGCGCCGGTCGACGCCGTGTTCAGGTTCACGGCCGGCGAGGCGATGCAGATCGAGGACGACGACGAGGACACCGACCGCTCCGAGGAGTATTCCGACGACGCGGGAGGGTGTCCGACTAGCTGGCCTCACCCATATCTTACCTTCTGCCCCCCCCTCCTGCAACCCCCCAGGCTAGATGGAGTAGTCAGATGAAGATTCTGCCCCACAGCACACAGCCCCTTTACGCTTTACCCCTTCACCCTCGCCTCGCTGCTTGGTGTTTCTGAACACGTAGACGTCCACGCTGTGGGGGTTGTGTCTAGGGTTGTGTGCGGGTCCTACTGTGTCTGGGAGGGAGGGAGTGGGGTGCAGGCTCACCCACGGCACCGGGCCAGTGCTTGCACTTTGAATGCCCTCCTCCCCTTGTCCCGGGCGTGGAGATGCGAGGGTCGCCCCCCCTTGCCCTTCGAAGAAGCGAGGATACACAGGCACGGCTCCGGCACGGAGCAAACACCTCCTCCCCCCAGATACACACAGGGAAGCGCGGGTGGGTCAACCAAAAGCACACACACAACGAAGACAGCGCGGCCGCGGGCGGAGAGGTGGGACGGACGGACGCGATTCATTCTAATGTCGAAGTAATTCGCCAGCCCAACGGCGCGGCGACGTACGTCCCTCTGGGGCGCAGCGGCCCTCCTGGCAACTTGCGCCTTGTGGGCGAAATGTTCACAAACTGTGTTTCCCCCCCACCTCATCCACCCTATAGGTTCCCCATCGTGCATCGAGCAATCGTCCGCCCGCGGGCCCCGCGGTCCGCCCGCGGTGTTGAGAGAAGACTAATCCTGTGGGGGAAGCTACCGCGGGGGGGAGAATGGGAACTTATCTTTTCGTTTTTCGCGGGCTGACGAGCCGTAAACTAAAGCTGAGAGCTGTCCTTACTACTAGTACGTAGGGCGAAGACTACTGCCGCATGGGCCTGAGGGCGTCGGAGACGTCAAAGTCGGCGGCGGTCGCGGCCCGCACCGACTCGACCGTCTCCCCCTCCCCGACCTCCGCCAGGAGCAGGCCCGCGCCGTCCGGCTTCACCTCGAACACGGCCTTCTCCGTGATGATGAGCGAGACAACCCGCTGGCCAGTGAGCGGGAGCGTGCAGCGCGGCAGCACCTTCGGGTTCCCCTTGCGGTCGGTGTGCTCCATGGTCACAATGACCTTTGAGCCCGACGACACGAGGTCCATCGCCCCGCCCATCCCCTTGACAAGCTTGCCCGGGATCAGGTAGTTGGCCTACGGGCCACTGCGCTGCTCTGCACGAGTGCAGTGAGTACGTGTCCTCTCGAGCGCTAGTTGGGAGACAAGGGTCGTAGTCCGCTTCTAAGGTGGTTGACCATGTCGCCGTTGGCGGCCACCTCCATCGTGCCGAGCACCTGATGCAATCAATTCAATGAGTCACGTAGATGAGAAGGGCCAACCACCCCCCATCGCGCCGAGCACCGTCACGTCGCAGTGGCCTCCGCGGATCATCGCGAAGGAGGTGTCGGCGCTGAAGAAGGAGGCGCCAGGCAACGCCGTCACCGTCTGCTTGCCGGCGTTGATCAGGTCGCAGTCCTCGGCGCCGCGGAGCGGGAAGGGGCCGGCGCCTAATCTCGGGTTGATCTCGGGTCATCTCGCGCGGGGAGGGGAGAGGAGTGGAGTGGAGTAGAGGGGAGGGGAGGGGAGGGGAGAGGGGAGGTGATACGCATTGTGGAGGGGAGGGGAGGGGAAGGGAGGGGAGAGGAGAGCAGAGAAGATCGAGCGAAGCGAAGCGAAGCGAACCCTAATCGTACAGGAGCGGAGAGGACAGGAGCGGAGCGGAGCCGACAGGGACGA